AACTGTCAAAAACAAAGAATCATATTTTCCAATCCTTTTCAACTCACGGAGATCTAATATTATTACCAATACGTAAGTCCTTTGATCATCTCCAAATCATTTCCAATCCACTTGTTTTCATAGGAATTGTATCAAACAAAACATTAAAATGAATATAAAAAAATGCAAGTTTATTTTTTAATTACAATTAAAAAAAAATATATACTAAAAGAGACGTACCACATCGAATATTGCTATATCGAAACAAATATAAATGTTTATTTATTTCGGCGGTTGTGAATTGCTGTAACAAAAGTTAACAAAACGCAACGAATGTGATTTGTTTATGCAAATAGCTTTAAATTCGGGATTTGTTGTTATCCCATGGAAACGCTATAAACGAGATTCCTGTTGTACATTTTTTTGAAAATATTATTTCGGTGTATAAAAATGTTTTATTTCGTTCGTATTTATTTTGCTTTGAATGTTTTTTTTTTGTATTAAACTATTTCATAAATTCGCATTCAAACGCAAACATATAATAATAACAAATGGCATGTTTAATGCTCGAATGGCTTTTATAAAATTATGGACACACAATGCACGAAAGAAAGACTCACGTACATTGAGTGTTCACAATATTGGGGGGAATTATTTGCTGTGCATTGATGAATGAGCTTTTTGGTACAAACGCAAATGCAAAAATAAAATTGTTCATTAGCAATAAGAATTTTGGTGCAAGCAGTTACAATAATTATAAACTAATTAATTTGTTTTTTTTATATTTCAAATATGTAATTAATAGATAAAGGAAAGTGTAGTTTATTAGTTGAAATAAGTGATGATAAAATAAGTTAGTTAATAATTAATTGGATTGAATCTGGAATCGATGACGGAATTAATTGGAATAATAATTAGGTAGAACAATGAAAGATACGTCGTTCAGCAAACCGAAATCTAATCAGAATCGCATAGCGTAAAGTAGTTTGCTATACAGCAACTTGAGCGTTCCCGCAATCGCCAATTAACTCTAAACTAATTAGCGAGCTCTTCGAAAGCGATAGTTTTTGTTGTCGTTGTTGTAGTTCTTGCATTAAAACGCACTAGAATCAAGGCGGACAAATAAAATGAATTCAATCTAAGAAAACAGTTTTAATTAAATAAATAAACCATCTACAACTATATCATGTTGATGTAACTTTGTTTGCTTAAAAGAAGTTTCGATTTAACAGCTTGATTTGGGAATACCGGATTGATTTAAGATTGCCTTTGTTAAGGCTGACGGTTCGTCAAGGATATTATTTCTCTTGGTTTCGCAGGAAATGAGTTTCGATGCGGATTTAAGGCTGCACCCTGACCGCCGAAACCGCCACCTTAATTACAACCTGTAACTAGTTTCAGGTGTGTAGCGAGTATTAAGCGCCGCCAGCTGAAGTGATTCATTTCGGCTCGGCCGTAATCATTTCGAATCACATAGTTAACCACGCGATCTCGCATTGTAAATGAAGTTTTGAATTGATTAAGGGCAAAGGATGGATGTTGGTTCTCGGCGTGGGTGGCTAACAACCCTCACACCCCCTTCAAGACCCACGTATAATTAAAGAGACCCCCGGACGACAACGCCGCCGCCGCCCCCAACCACAACACATACACATCGTGGGTACTCGTCAAAGCCGCATAATCTGCATAAAGTGTTTTTATTTCAGTTCCGCCACGATATTAACGCTTCACCGCTTAATATTCCAATTAGAATCAACCTTCTTTTTTTTATCAAACACCTCCACATAATAATTAATAATTTTTTTTTTAATTATTTTGCGATATCTCATTAAGTTTGCTGCATTGATTTGAAGATATTCCGAATTTAAATACGTACATACAAATAAATGATTAAAAGTTTGTCCTACTCGAATTGCAAATCAGATTCCATTTCCGGGATGCCACGTGTGTATGGCATACATTTTCACCTCGTATGCGTGTCAAAATTCTGCGTCTACGTCGCCTTGTTTATTTGGGGGAAGGGTGGCATAATCTGAATTGTAAATGAAGTTCGCGGATAGTTCTACTCTAGTTTATCTCACGAATTCACGTCTGTATTAAAGCAATTCGTAAAATTGACGCAACGAAGTTTCTTTTAAATTGTAATTCAAATATCAATTGAATTATTCATTAATATTTATGCTAGTTGTAAGGATTTTTTAGTTGAAGCTGATCAAGGATGAGTTGGCTGGGTTGTGGAATTATAGTTATATAAATATGAAATTAAAAAGGATTAGGAAAGTTTTGTTTTCTTTTTTTTTGTGGAAGAGTTAGAGGTTGTAGTAAATTTAATGAGGATGCTCGTAATTCAGATATTAAAAATAATTTGGCTTTACGGCGGGTGGGATTCCGAGTGGCGTAATAAGTTTTCTTGAGAGGGGGTGGGAGAGTTGGGGTGTAGTTTTGATGTGGAGACAATGGCGGCGTCGGCGGCTTGAAGGTCGAGGGGTTGGGTAGAAGGGGCATGGTTTTGAGATGAAGCAGCCGTCTTCGTCGGAAGTAATTTAAATTTTCGGAAATTACGTTCCTCGTAAGAGATGGACTTGGACGGAGGAGCCGTCCACGCAAATGAGCGCCATTCATTACTCGAGGGAACAATAAATAAACGCACCCCTCGCACCTAGCAGCATCGTAAATGTGGGGGGTGGCTTTGGGATGCTGTTAAAGCAAGCATTTCGAAACTAAGGGCTGCAATTATAAACAACCGAAAAAGACTATTCGATGAAAGTGATTAAATTTTGATATTGAAGAAAAATAGATTGACGGCGTTGGTGGAAAGAGATTGGAGGATTTAATGAAATTTCTAGTGAACCGCCCTCATTCTTATACCGCCCCCTTCAACCACCGACGTTATGCGTGGCTGCACGCTCCTTGTTTACGACAAAACGCAATTTGCGCCAAGTTTCGCCCAAAAATCAGCAAACCGTTACCGAAGCCACAATTAACGCGGATAACTTTCGCCAGGGGAGGAAAAAAAATCAATGAGAGCTCGGCTTCTCTGTACGTTACGTTACGTAACAAGCAAGCAAGGCAGGCAATACCGTAGTCTCCCCCCAAAAACTCGCAACGAAACTATTCCGAATGAGAAGGGGGAAGAGTATCAGCAACAGCTTCGAATTCGACAAGAATGCGCTTAGCGTACCCAAGTTGTAATTACTTCGCCGTTATAAATCCGGAGAGGGTAGGCGCGTCTTACCAACTTTCCAGGTACCCCTCCCATATCTGGAATAAGTCGCAACATCCCTATGTACAGTTATATACATATATATATATATACTTCTTTTCTTAGCCCTCGCTTATAGTTTGACAATTTATCTACGTTCCGACGAACCTCCTTCCCCTGCCCGCAAACGCAGAATGGAAGAGAAAGAGAGAAGAGTTAATTATGCGAATTCCTCCATCGTACCTTCGCTCTTGCGTAACGTCTTCAATATTCCTCTCCGCCGCGCTCTCACGTGAATCTATAAATTGCCTCCTTGTTTTATACGTGCCCCAGGAACTTTCCAACAAGAAGGTGGGTATTTCCACCAGCAAACCCTAGCACCACTTATGCATGTTTATATAATAGTCTCCCGCTTCGCGCTTTTTCCACTTCAGTTTCATTTGCATAAATTAAAACTAGCGGGTGTGCGAAATTAATATCTGCCGCGGAAATAGTTTCTCCTCACAACACTAATCCTCAATTCCAACTTATACTGCACCAATATAATTTATTATTCTACCTAAAATTATTAAAATTTTATTATTAATTAATAAATAGATTCACATTACCTCTTTTCCAGATTAATTTTATTTAATTTTGTTCGAAGCAAGGGATGCCTATATATTAAGGGTAGATCTATTGTTACTTGATATCTCTTGATGTAACCACTATATATATCCACTATATAATCTCAATACTAGGCAATCTCAAAAAGGCATTTAGCGATTTTATTATCGTCTTCTCTGTTCTTATTAGATTTATTCTCTTCTGCTGCTGAGTAGGGAAAATTATGCTAAGTGCAATTTGTACATCAAATTATCTTCTGCTTTTAGTCGCTTTCTACAAAGATTTGTATTGCTTGAAAGTATAATTCGAGGTCGAAAACTAAAGAGCGACATGATCTTAAAATGAAAATCCGAAATTATGCAGTAAAAACCATTAAAAGTCAAAAACCATTACTTTAGTCAATATTTATAATTGAATCGACTTGACGCATGGATGAGCTTTATAATTGATTGATCATCGTTGAATAATTGAAATTGGTTATCCAGGTGAATTGTTAATGTAGTCATTATTTCTAACTTATTATTATTCATGGATCAGTCTTATTTGCATAATTAATTCGTAGAATTATTAATAAAACAATTCACAAAATATACGTCTACGTCAGATCCATTAGGTGATTGATAGTTTCGGCGATGGTCGAGCACCGTCGGTCCAATTTCCATTTCCATTATTTTCTGAAACGCGAGAGTTTTCCGAAATAATTTCGCGTGATTTAATAGGTCGACCATTGTCCACCTATTACGTATGACACAACATTTATCCTGTATAATGTAAAAGCCTAGGGAGAACTTAAAGGGAACAAAAGCGAAAAGAGCTATATTTTATGAGCCATTGAGCCAAGTGCGCCACCACCCATATAGAGATATAAAACCCTGCCTTAAAATATATAGGCGGGGAAAAATATATATGATATGAGATTGGAATGTGGGTAATACAGGAAATAGAGCCATTAACGTAATTCCAGTGTCCTGGTTGATTAAAGTTCAATTACAATTAACAATTGTTAACAACTCTAGTTTGGATACGTATTTCGAAATTAGCAATTTATATAAGACATCATCTCTTCCATTCTTCCACCGCCTCCGGCGAGAATATGAGATGAATGATTGTGATTATGAATTCACACTACATTCGTGGGGGTTGCGAAATACAATACTTAACTTAAGATATTTTTATTAAATGCGGTTTCTCTTTTTTTCTCCCTCTAACACAGATGCAGCATCCGTTCGCATTGTCAAGACGCAGCCAAAGATCCTCTGTACTGGATTAGCTACAAGAGTGGTAGATGCACGACCATAACGACCGTTACGCCGAACCAATTACAAAGAACGACCGCTAGAACGGTAAGTCTTTCGAAAATGATTTCGTTTTTGCTACTACGATGCATCGGAATTATTAGTTCGAAACCAGTTTTCCCACGGCCACGGCCTTCTAATATCCGGAGTATTACTCTTAATTAACAACGTTTGTCCACCCTCTCGCACAGCTGGATCTCGCTATTGATAACCTGCCGACCCTGTCTGGTCAATTCCTGTGCGCGTTCACCGCATTGGACAAAACCCTCATCACCAACGCCACCAAGAAAAGCTACGGCGTCAACTGTACAACCCCGCGCACCGACTCGCTGCCATCCATCCCGCAAGGACAACGTAAGCCCCGCTAATTTATATCATTTATGTTAGTCTAAACTAATGGATTTCCGTAGATCACTTTACCGCCAAGCTGTCAGTACGCATGGAATCTGGTCCAGATTTTGTGGCAACTAACTTCACCTTCTTCGATTGTAACACCTACAGTTCCTGCACCCAGTGCGTGTCATCGTCTTTCCCTTGCGACTGGTGTGTTGATGGACACAGATGCACCCACGATACTGCTGAGAACTGCAGAAATGACATTCTCGTGACTGGCGTCAACGTAAGCTTTTCAGGATGGTTTAAGAAATAGAGAATATAATGAATTGTTTACAGCGAGTTGGGCCCAGCTACAGATCCGGACCAGCCTTTTGTCCGACCATCAATGCCTCCGTTGGAAATTCTCCTGAAATCTTAGTCGCTTCTGGTATTAAGAAGGCAATTCGCGTCAAGGTTCATATCATAGGCCAATTTATAGTTCAAACTAGATTTGTGTGCCAATTTAACATAGAAGGTAGAGTGACCAGCGTGAATGCCCAGCTTCTAGGGGATACTATCTACTGCGATCAGATGGAGTTCTCGTACACCTCAAAAGCTCCGAATATTACAGCTACATTCGCTGTAATCTGGGGTGGATCTAAGCCGTTGGATAATCCTGACAATATTCACAGTAAGAACATCACACATAGTTTAAAGCTATTTGCTCAAATTGACTGTTTTCGTTTTTTTTTTCAGTTGTAATCTATAGATGCAGGGATATGGCAGACAATTGCGGGATGTGTTTAGCACTCTCTGAAAAATATGAGTGCGGTTGGTGTCAGAGCACCGATCGCTGCGAGGTGAAGGAACAGTGTGAAAGGGGATCTGCCGTTTGGTTGAATCGCAGTCAGACCTGTCCTAATCCTGAAGTGATTTCCTTCAGACCAGAGTTGGGCCCTTGGGAAGGAGACACGAATATTACAATTGAGGGCATCAATTTAGGCAAGACGTTCCAAGACATCTACACGGGTGTCAGCATAGCAGGCATTAACTGCCAGCCTTATGAACATCTTTACATCAAAACCAAACAAATCGTCTGCAAGGTAAATATGATGGATATAATCCGATGCATAACAATTAATATCGTCTGAATTTTCTCTACCCGTGTTTGCATTAAAATTTTCACGGATGGATGTTTGTCATAATTAACGTAGTGGTTCAATTTAAACAATTTGTCAGTGCTAATTATTGATTTGAGCAGCCGTGAATTTATATCGAACATAGGTGTAAACATATCCTTCACCATGCCCACCCTTCTGGCTATGGTATTCAATCTGGCGATCTAATTGATTCTCAAGTTGGCCGAGCAGAAAGTGTCAGGCTGGCTAATGTAAGCCTAGCAGGTGCATTTGGTCAGTCGGCCGTGGTCTATAAAGGGGGTCCCTACACACCGTCCCTTTATAGGCCGTAACTACGCCAATTTTCGAAATCCCAATTATCGCGCAATCAGAACAGTTCGGCCAAGTTCAACTAAATTCATTGTGTATTTTCAAGGTTGACGGTCCGGGTACGAACGAACAAAGACAGGGACCGGTGGTCGTTAGAGTGGAGGATTACAGGGGTGAATCGAAGACTCATTATAGATTTGTCGATCCCTCGGTCACCGGAATCTCGCCAAAATATGGTCCGAAATCTGGAGGTACGATGCTACAGATAACCGGCCTCTATATGAACGCCGGCAGCAACATACAAGCTTTCATCAACGATTTGCCATGCAAGATAGTTTCGTAAGTATACAATCCCTAATAGGGCGACTAATAAACAAATAAGAAAAAGAGCACCATATATCAACAATGTTTGGATATCTTTTAGGACTGATCAAAAACACGCACTATGCATGACAAGTGCTTCCGATAAGCCTGTGGCCGGCAAATTAAGGATGAAATTCGATAAGGGCGATAGATATTATGAAGACGAGCTGTTCCAATACGTGGATGATCCGGTGATTGAGTCTGTTGAATCCGGAGTTGCGAGCCCGGTCAAACAGCCGAAGGGCATTCCGGCAGGCGGCATCAAGATCTCCGTTGCCGGAAAAAATCTTGCTTACATACAGAAGCCCCAAATGTACGTCTACTACGAGCAGAAGATGTTTTTTAGTGTAAGTCGAAACTCACTAATCGCAATCGTGACAGGAAAATAATTATCTGCTTCTTACAGGCATGTACGGTGATTAGTAACACGAGTATGACGTGCGATAGTCCGATTATTGAAGTCGAGGAACTTAAATTGGATGCGGATAGTCCGCTCCCTTTGGAGTACGGTTTCAGAATGGATAACGTGTCCGGTGTGCAGAATTTAACGTTAAATAATAATTTCAATCCGTTCTTGTTGTATCCGAATCCAGTTTTCGATCCGTTCGAGAAAGATAAAGTGAAATACTACAAATCTGATTATCTTAACATAAACGTAAGTGCCGATTCAATGTCGCAATGTTGTTCCCTTTAATAATTGAATCCTATTTTTAACGCTATTTCTAGGGTCAGAATATTGACAGGGCTTGCCAGGAAACCGACGTCGAAGTGCGGATAGGTAATAGCTTCTGCAACGTAACGTCACTGTCTCGACAGCAATTGACATGCAGACCTCCGGAAACCCAACCCTCTGCTCTGGACGAGCTCGGCCAAGCGAATGGCGAGGAATTCCCCGAAGTTATTGTTATCGTCGGAGGAACACTGCGTTTCGCAATTGGTAGCCTGTCCTATTCCTCGCCACAAGGAATAAATGGCAGCCTTTCGCGGCCGATACTTTATATGATTATCGCCATTGGTATAGTTGTTTTCATAGTTTTCATTGCGTTCTTGGTAGCATACCGAAGGAAGTCGACTGAGAACAATAGGGTTCTCAAGAATATGCAGGAACAAATGGATATACTCGAGTTGCGTGTTGCAGCCGAATGCAAGGAAGCGTTTGCCGAATTACAAACGGAGATGACTGATTTGACTGGAGATTTGACGTCCGGTGGAATACCGTTCCTGGATTATAGAACGTACGCTATGAAGATCCTGTTCCCCAACGTTGACGACCACGTTGTATTGCAATGGGATAGGCCGGAGCTACTGAGGAAGGACAAAGGTCTCCGTTTGTTCGGGCAGCTGATAATGAACAAGACTTTCCTGCTGCTATTTATAAGGACTCTAGAGAGCAACCGATATTTCTCGATGCGCGATCGCGTGAATGTAGCATCATTAATAATGGTCACGTTGCAAAGTAAAATGGAATATTGTACTGACATCCTAAAGACTTTACTGGCGGAATTGATCGAGAAGTGCATGGAAGGGAAAAGCCACCCGAAGTTGCTTCTCAGGCGTACCGAGAGTGTCGCTGAAAAAATGCTAAGCGCATGGTTTACCTTCTTGTTATATAAGTTCTTGAGGGAATGTGCCGGCGAACCGCTCTTCATGTTGTTCCGCGCTGTTAAGCAGCAAGTCGATAAAGGACCTGTGGATGCGATAACTTCCGAAGCTAGGTATTCACTTAGCGAAGAAAAATTAATTCGACAATCAATAGATTTTAAAGCAATGGTACGTATTAATTACACATTTTATAGGCAAACTTAATTAATACATTCCTTTATTCATTTATAGACGATTTATGTTTCCATTTCGCAACAAGCTGGTTTCGTTGGCTTAGATCACAACACAGAAAACGTTCCTGTCAAAGTATTAGATTGCGATACTATAAGTCAGGTGAAAGAGAAAGCCTTGGACAGCATCTATCGCGCAACCCCGTACTCGCAAAGACCAAGGAAAGAAGATTTGGATATTGGTTAGTATTAAACTTATATTGCAGTATCATTACAGGGCTATAATCAACATATATTTTAGAATGGAGAACAGGTACATCAGGAAGACTCATATTGTACGATGAAGATACCACTACGAAAACCGAAGGAGATTGGAAGAGGAGGAATACATTGCAACACTACAGAGTACAGGATGGGGCCAATTTAAATCTGGTTTCCAAGCAGAGCTCAATATACAATCTGAGCAGCATGTACACGGACAAAAACGACAAGAGTCATAAGTACGAGACTCTTAATATTAACAAATATAATTCTGCTAGTCCGCCGTTGAGTCGCGCAACGAGCCCTTTGAACAATGACCATGATCAAGGTGTCCGCGGTTGGCATTTGGTGAAACATCACGACGCTGACGCCCAAAGAGAGGGCGAGAGGGGCAACAAAATGGTATCAGAGATCTACTTGACACGTTTGCTTGCCACCAAAGGTACCCTGCAGAAGTTCGTAGACGACCTGTTCGAGACGATCTTTAGTACCGCGCACAGAGGATCGGCATTACCTCTGGCTATTAAGTACATGTTCGATTTTCTTGACGACCAGGCACTTCAGCACGGCATAGCCGATCCAGAGGTCGTCCATACCTGGAAGAGCAACTCGTTGCCACTAAGGTTCTGGGTAAATCTCATTAAAAACCCCAACTTCGTGTTCGACATACACAAGTCGAACATCGTTGATTCGTGTTTATCTGTAGTTGCTCAAACCTTCATGGATTCCTGCTCCACTTCCGAGCACAGACTAGGTACTTAAATAACACTAAAATTACTAGGAACTTGGATAGTCATACTATTGTTTCATTTACAGGTAAAGATTCACCGAGTTCCAAGCTTTTGTATGCTAAAGATATACCATCCTACAAAGAATGGGTCGAGAGGTATTATTCCGATATCAAGATAATGCCAGCTATCTCTGACCAAGATATGAATGCGATGTTGGCCGAAGAGTCGAGGGTAAGTTTTTTTTTTTTAAATTTTCTTATTATAATTGAGAATGCCCTGCTAATGATGTTTGCGATTGGTTATTCCAGCTCCACACGACTGAGTTCAACACGAATTGCGCCTTGCAAGAATTGTATACATATGCTGTGAAGTACAACGAGCAATTGATGGTTACGCTAGAAGAGGATGAGTTCTCCACCAAGCAACGCTTGGCATATAAGTTAGAGCAGGTGCACAACATAATGACGGAGCCGCAACCGTGATACTGGCCTGACTTGACGCGGCCTTCTGCGCCGCCGATCTCTCCCATGCAACCTTCTGCTCCCCAGGAGTTAGCCTGCTGATGGCCATCATGTTAGGAAGGATCGGTTTTGGCCGTCGTCATCATCGGAAACTCAGTGCCAGTTCCATACTGGACAAAACACATATCTACGGAACACTATCTGTATGTTGTTGGATCGCCGTTTAAAATAGTCGTTCAGTGTCGGAGCAGTGCCCAGTCAGTGACTTTAAGTGCCTCTGGTAGGAATGAGCTGCGTACTGTCTCCATGAAATTAGTGTACTATATTTTTATGATACGACAGTCTGTTTATTGCTTTGCTGTGCTGAAACCTTCAGCGTTTAGTCCAATACACCTGCACATACGCGGATCGAAATTCCCAGGTGACATTACCCTTCGCGTATGTGCACGTCGATATTCTACGTATTATCACAAAGTCTAAAATGCTTTTTTGATAATTGTATAATGAATGTACCTTATATTTATCCTTGTACAGTTTAATATTTTTATATTTTGTTCGATGCAATCATTAAGATTGTCTTCCGCATTTGAAGGAAGCAGCAGGGTGTAGTGTTTATTTGCGACCTCTCAATCATTCATGCAACAGACCCAAGAACCCAACCCACTCCTACCTAATGACCCCTACCCCTTCGCCACATACAAAAAAAAATGCCATTCGCTAACCTCACCCCCGCCACCACCCAAAAAAAAAAGCCTACGTCTCTCAGTATCTCTTTCTCTCGTGTCGATGTGCCGTGGTCTGTTTAAGTGTTGAAAGGCTGTGCATTTCCATTAAACCGCACAGCGAGGACTCTATTAAATGTCCCTCACCCCTTCATTCCTAACAAGTCCGCACCACATAACCATTTCGAAAACAAATACATTAAACAAAAAAAGACAAAGTATCCCCCGAAGCACTAAAAACCTGTGTTCCTCCACGTAATGTACATTCAAAAGCAAACAAGTAAAGAAAAAAGAAATACAATGGAAATGTTTTCAGGCTGTAATTTAATTGATATTAAAGAAAAATAATCTTTGTCTTTAAATTAACTTGAGGATTCCAAATAAAGTGTGGAATATATATATAATATATATATATATTTATATATACATAGATATATTTATATATATATAGATATATTTATATACATATATATATGTATAAGTGTATATGTATAATGATGATGTATTAAACGTAAATGGATGTAATTGTTCGCTCTTCTATTATTATGCATTATTATTCTTCCTTCTCTCGATGTGTGTCATTTAATACTAATAATACGAAATATAACCGTCCTAAACGATGCTAATATTCGTCGCGATCGACTTCTTTCCCGGCTAACTCGAAATGAAAACGAAAAAAAAAAAACATAAGAAAAAAAAAATATGTATGTATGTGTAAATGTATATGAAACAAATAACAGCAAGCTATCACATTTCTTCAAAGTATAAACTAATTGTAAACACTAATTGATTAAGTGAAACAGCGAATCCTCAACTTTCTTTACAAGACAACTGTACCGCCAGTGTTCGATGGTTACTATTTAATTCTTACCGATAATACGTATATCTATATATATATATGTATGTATGTAAAGCAAATAAAGTAAATACAGTGTGTATCCAAAAGAAAAGGAATGCTACAAATATTATGAAACGAATGAGGGGAAATTAATATATATATATCTCTAGATATATGTATATACAAATATATGTGGTATAAAAAAAATAAATGTATTTGCTTATTAATGAAGAAGTTGAGATTAAGATGTGAGAAAAAGCAAACTAATTATGTATGTATATCTGTATGTTAATTGTAATTTAATTTATAATTGCTGTCTGCACTGGCTACAGTGATCATACTATTTTCTTTTTGTACATATTAGGTGTGCGTGCACGGTGTATTCATAGTACTGTGTGTATACTCGATTGCATTTGCAATAATATGAATGGTAATGTAATACTATATGTTATTATAAAAGACTGAATGGAGTTATTTCAAATACTAAATAGAAAACATCTCTATGTCTCTGTTTTTATTGGCAATTTCGTTTCGACGTTCCGTTAATTGTTCGTGTAATCGGTGTGAGCTTTTGAGTGGACGATGGAGAAATTGGACGCAGAAGAAGTGGAAGCGAAAGAATCACATCGAACATCGAACTTACGGACAAAACCTTGCACTCCTTCTTTTATCCACAACAACAGCAGATGAAATAGCAACATCATCATAAATGACGATGATGATGTATTACAGCTCGCCGCCCTCTGACAACTGCCCCCGTAGTTCCTATACCGTGGCAACCCTTGCAGCTATTGCAGCGACTCAATAAATTTCGCACTAAATAGATGCAACTAATTTTCCCAGTAGGCCGTCCCTTCTCATTGGACTATCAACTGAATCAATAATCGACACACATATGCATATATATATATACATATATATATCTGCAGGACTTCCTTTATAGAAAAATTAAAATACGAAAACACCTTCAAAATAAAAATTTCATGCACTTCATAAAGTGCAGTTTTTTTTTGGGAATGCAAGTAAAAGTTATTTGTATATATGAAAAATAGATTATTCAATCGACCCTGAAACAGAAATATAATCGATTTATAGTACTTACTTTCTCTTTTTTTTTTTTTTTGTTTTTTTTGTAGAGGAGAGGAAACCTTGCATAGGGACCACGGATAGGATTCCGTGGTACTGTAAGATTCTTACTCACTAAAACCTCTCCCCTTTTCTTCCCTCATTCCTACAACAGACAAGACAAATACATATGTAAGTAAGTGCACACATGAATAATAAAATAACCTGGAAAACAGATAAAAATATCAAACAACCTAAAAACAGATAAAAACATAATCGTAGAAAATATAAAAACATAAACAAAGTCATCAGAAAATAGATATTAATGTATAGAAATGGATAATAAGACAACCTGAAAACAGATAAAAACATAATCCTAGAAAATATAAAAGTAAAAACATAAACAAAGTCATCAGAAAATAGATATTAATGTATAGAAATGGATAATAAGACAACCTGAAAACAATAAAAACATAATCCTAGAAAATATAAAAACATAAACAAAGTCATCAGAAAATAGATATTAATGTATAGAAATGGATAATAAGACAACCTGAAAAACAATAAAAACATAATCCTAGAAAATATAAAAAACAGTAAAAACATAAACAAAGTCATCAGAAAATAGATATTAATGTATAGAAATGGATAATAAGACAACCTGAAAAAATAAAAACATAATCCTAGAAAATATAAAAAACATAAAAACATAAACAAAGTCATCAGAAAATAGATATTAATGTATAGAAATGGATAATAAGACAACCTGAAAAACAATAAAAACATAATCCTAGAAAATATAAAAAACATAAACAAAGTCATCAGAAAATAGATATTAATGTATAGAAATGGATAATAAGACAACCTAAAACAATAAAAACATAATCCTAGAAAATATAAAAAACATAAAAACATAAACAAAGTCATCAGAAAATAGATATTAATGTATAGAAATGAATAATAAGACAACCTAAAAACAAATAAAAAATATATAAACAATACAAAAAATCAAACAAACAAGGAAATCACACAAATAGGAAAATCAAACACACTTGGAAACACCCATACACGAAAAACAAGCAAACATGGAATACACATGAAATAAACCAAAATTGAAAATAAATTAATGAGAAAAATTTGTCTCACTTTAAGTCGCCTTCTACGACAAGCAATAAATTCATCAACCCCAAGAGGAATGTTTCCATTGGAGTCGGAAAATGTAGTTCTGAAAATAAACAAAAAATAGTCACAATAAAGTACAGAAAATAAGAAGTTGAATTGATAATATCTTCTTTTTGTCGACTTCTACGACAATCAGGAGTTACTGATAATGTAGTACTGGAAATAAAGAAAAAATAGTGTTAATAAATTAATGAAAATTGGATGCTGAATTCATACGACCCATTTTATGTTTTCTGAATCTGCAACTAATTCATCTTCATTTTCTCGTTCTAATCCACATTCGTTTTCTCGTTCTAATCCACATTATTGGTATTCACTCGCGAACACTCGCGAAATTTGCAATAAAAATACGCACAAAACTCCGGAATTTTAACACGTGATTCTAATTACTAACTACTAAGTTCACAATAAATTGAATTTACTGATTATACGTTAGATCCATCCCTGAAAGCAGAACATATAAGCCGACAAATACGTTGTATTTGCCACTAACTACTCAAACTAAACTTTACAGAAAACCAATACCAATATTAAATATACTGAAATCTGAAAAGAAATGAATTTACTTTAAGGTTGAGGGATGACTTTTTGTTACCACTTCGAAGTTTCTGAATCTGCAACTAATCCATCTTCATTTTCTCGTTCTAATCCACATTATTGGTATTCACTCACGAACACTCGCGAAATTTGAAATAAAAATACGCACAAACTCCCGAATGAATTAATACTACCGAGTCGCGATTCACATACTACGTAACTGTACTACCGAAGAATAAACTTCGCGGAAAACGCGAGCCTTAACGGATGCACCTCGAGAAGGTTTTAGCACAGGCGGCGATGTCTCCTTTTAGTCGGCTTCTACGACAAGCAGGAGTTACTTTGGCTATATTCTTCTACCCTAGCCAAAGGGCTTTAATCCATGTTGGTCCTGTAAATGTAATTTTGGTGATTATGAAAATTAGTCTAATTAAAATTGAGAAACTAAAAGAATTGAAGATGTCTCCTTTTAGTCGCCTTCTACGACAAGCAGGAGTTACTTTGGCTATATTCTTCTACCCTAGCCAAAGGGCTTTAATCCATTGGTCCTGAAAATGTAATTTTGGTGATTATGAAATTAGTCTAATTAAAATTGAGAAACTAAGAAGAAGAATTGATGTCTCCTTTTAGTCGCCTTCTACGACAAGCAGGAGTTACTTTGGCTATATTCTTCTACCCTAGCCAAAGGGCTTTAATCCAGTTGGTCCTGAAATGTAATTTTGGTGATTATGAGAAATTAGTCTAATTAAAATATAGAAGAATTGATGATGTCTCCTTTTAGTCGCCTTCTACGACAAGCAGGAGTTACTTTGGCTATATTCTTCTACCTTAGCCAAAGGGCTTTAATCCACTTGGTCCTGAAAATAATGAGAAATTAGTCTCATTAATATTGATAAATTGAGTCTCCATCCTTCTTGGAATATGTGTTGGTAACGAATATTCTATTGGCATAAGCTGGGAACTAAAACAATTCATAAATTAAAAATTACCTAAAAATAGAAAAACAAATTAATTAAATATTTCTGAAAAAGAAAATACATTACATCAGACAAATAAAAACAAAATAATTAAATTTATATAATAAAGAACATGTTAATTAATTATTTCTTGAAATATTAAGAAATTTTAAAAGAGAAATCAATTAGATCATAGTTTTTTGCTGTGTTTTATTGTGTATATCTATTGTTTTGGCCGCCAAGAAGATTACTTACACCCATTCCAAGCCCACAGCAAAAGCTTAGTCTGAATGCAAGATCCGCAAGACGACCACTGTTATTTGCTGGAAGAAATACATATACATTAATATGGAAATTATACACCCGACGATTGTTATGGAGAATCACTCGAAATCAAAAGCAAATCCACCACGATTAAGTCGCAGTGGATATCAGACCGGGAACCAACTAGAAATTCCACGAACGGTCATCCATTATAAACCTAACTTAGATTATGGGATATTCTACGTTAATCTTTAATCCGGCAAAGATAAGACAGCAAGAAGGTGATAACAAGTAGTTAATTTAGATTAATGTAAAAAAATATTGATATAAAAGCATTATAAATAAATGCCTTTTATTGTGTTTTAGGGGAGGTTGCTATACAAAAAGCTAGAATTGCAATTAGAAATTTGCCAAGTTCCTATTTGCAACTTTCGAGTGATTTTCGGGCACGATGGATAC